GCCTCTGATTGATCATCTAAGATAATAGCCGTGAAAGTATGTATTTCTTTGGTATCTATATTAATTCTAAGTAACAAGTATCAAATGGTTTTTATGGTTGATATAGAACCAATTATACGAAATGACCATCATTGCCACCAGGCGATTCATCAGTTCCTACTGCGATATCTGCAGATAGTCAACAATGAACGAGATAACGCCACAATTCAATTGGTTGCGTCACAACAATTAAATAACGCTTTCGTTAATAACCGTTAATTACTTAAAAGCTTTTAACTTATTGCCGAGATAAGCAAATAAAAAAATACAAACTCGTGATTGTGATGTACGACCTTCTGTAGCCTGGTGATGAAATCTTGATGTTGAATTGTATTATTTACTTGACGTTCAGTTCAATATGTATTTGAGTATAAAGATTTGTTTGCTTGTTTATATATTTGAATATTTGGTTATACTGATGATTATATGTGCTCATCATCATCAGTGAGTTCAATTTTAAATAGACAAATCCTGTGAGAGTTTTAGTCCTGAAATTGTGTCTACTAATTGGTACTAAGGTAAGGTTTTTAATGGATGAATGAGTAATGTTAAACCCGCCTGCGCTAAGGCTTTACGCTAGCACCAGTAGAGGATGATGGGATGAGCATGAGGTCAGTTGGCCCATCGTGACAAATTCACAAGGAATTTATGACGATGGATTCCAGGGGGAACAGCATGTACCTCCATGACATGGTACTTTGTTAGCGATACAACTACTAACAATCCGTTTCCCCCACTAAAGTACTATTGAAATTTGATACATACGTACCAGTTGGGACTGAGAGGGACGTGGGTTACTTTTCAGCTCGGTAAAGGTAGTCCGCACGAACTTGTCTGCAACACATTGTGAGACGAGGGATGTGGACAATAAATAGAGACTAATGGTAACAGGGAAGATACAGCTTAAAAATCATCAACCTATTCGATCAGACGCGATATCCAGTCAGTTGATAGTCTAGAGTCGCGATCCTTAGCAGTGATGGAACGATCAAGAAAGAAGAAAGGTAGGCCGGACGAAATCGCGTGTAGATACTAGTAAAACAAATATTAATATCGTCAGCTTCCATTGCAGGATGTGGTACAATGATACTGGTTGTTGTGATGAGGCGGAGTTGTTCGCAGCGGCGCACCATACAGATACACAGTGTCGACACATACCGTGTTGGTTTTGTGAACAAACGCAACCCATACACACCGAGCGCATGGCTAATATGACTTTAGCAGTAATACCCGATTTCTTACCGGTGTGTAGTTTACACACCAGGTGGCATGTTGAGCGGATCACATTACTCTTAAAAAATTGACCTTGACCTTTTTGACCGGAATTTTTTGAGTGGTAAACGATGGAGGCTTAAGGGTGACTTTCGATGAAATTTTGGTCTTGATCGGTCAAGCTGTTTCGAAGGAGTATAGTTACAAAGAGTGCAAATCTGATTGTTATTGTTATTTTTAGTGGATGATAATGGAATGGTGCATCCATCTGTGCTAATGGTATACGCTAGCGGGTCATCAGTGAAGGATAATAAGGACAGTTAGCGCATCATGAGAAATTCATTAGATTTGACATGGCTCTTTCCAGGGGGAACCAGGGGGAGGTCTCTACTTTTAATGTTACTTTCACCTATAGGTAAGCCTTAAATTGATAATTAATAAGCATCAACAACAGATATCAAATTGAGTTCCAAATTGTTTTTCTTCGTTTGAAATGATTTTTTTTACAGTAGCGTTTCAGTCTTTATTTCTTGAATTATTTCCATATTTAGCCATATCAACATTAAATTCAAACTAGAATAATATATGTGAGTTTATAATATTAAAATTGAAGTGGGTGTACTGGCGGCGTTAATTTCACCAGTCGTTTGATATGAGTCTGCCCCGCGGGGTACTCACTCGCTCTTTATTTTTTTGCTCCTACCTTTTTTATACATCTCTCGACATGCCACAAAGGAAGGCGACTTTTGTTCTCTTGTCTCTCTCTTTAATGATTTTACGTATTATTAATTGTGGCCTGATAAAAACCGATTGAAAAATGTCGATCGCTACACGATTTGTTAAGATCCTTTATGGTGTGGTAGCCGCTGAAGGTTGGGGGTTGATTTGACAGTTGTTTAGAACTTATTAAGTACTATCATTATGTTTTGTTTTGATGTATGAGTAAAATATTTTTTTAACGTTTATTTTTTACTAGCTGTGCTGGCTGGTTTCACCCTCATGAAATTTATAGACTATATGTTATTCTGATGTATAAGCTACATTACTGTAAAGTTTCATCAAAATCCCTTCAGTAGTTTTAAAACAAGAACTTTGAAAGAGTAACAAACATCCATTCATTCACACAAACTTTCGCTTTTGTAATATTATTACATTTGAGCTACTGTTAGGAGCTAAGGACCTGTAACACTGCGACATATATAAATCTATTGTGCTCGCCCTTTCTCAGTGTTCGCTACCTAGACCCATTAGGGACAAGAATTGAAGGATATACTTGTATGCGATGGTTTTTATCCCCTCAGGATATAGTGTATACTTTCCAAAGGCGATAATTCGTTTACACATGAGTGGGCTACAACCACATAGGACGTGAAGTGGCGTTTCCTCTTCGCTTGGCAAAGCCTGTAATTTGTTAAGAAATTAGGCGTTAGCCTAATTTCGCTATGTATTTATTCAATTTGTAGTGTCCTGTGAGGGATCTAGTCATGATGCCTAAAAGTTTATATTTACTTTATTTTACTTGGAATTTATTATGTTGTGCTAAACATGATTTCCATCATTTTCGTATATTTCGTTTATGTAATCAACAACAACCATGATTGTTATCTCCGATAGAATACACCATTATCATCTGTTGATGTAGTACAACAATTATCGATGCAATGCAACTGTTATCAACATTTATAGGAAATATAAAATAGCACTTAAAAAAACAAAAAAAAATTGTACAAATAATACAAAAGTAAAAAAATCATTGTACAAAAGAAATATTGATAGACGGTAATTAAAGTGTTTTAAAAATGTGACAATATAAAAATTTAGGTACATAATATTCTAGTTAAGTAATTACAATTTAATTAATTAACATCTAATAAAATACTATTGTATTTTTAATAATTACAACGACTTCACATGTATGTCTTCCTTTGTTCAAGTTCTCTTATCTGTGGGAGGTATACCTACCTTTTTTTTTACAAAATAATAAATTCTGTCAATCACATACATATATGTATATATATATATATCATAAATACACACTCGTGTCTGTATTTGTATGTTAGGTAGATATACTTTCGCTGTCAAACTTTTTATATTTTGGCATAAAGAATTCTTTGACCTTTGGCTATATCAAACAATATGATAGTAACAAAATCACTTGCGCTAGTGTGACCTTTTAGATCGACTTTTAATTCTTTTTAAGATAAAATCTTGATAATTTAGTACTTGGGAATATTAAATTATGAGTATAGGCAACAGTTCATGAATATATGCAAACAGTTACTATTTAGGAAGCCATCAAATTGTCCTTTTAAATAAAAAACATGCATATTAGAATTGTTCGTAAAGCGGAATTAACTTATTCATTAGTATAGTTTTGGTTAATCTCAGGATAAGCAGAACTTGTGTTTTGTCTACTAGGCACAAGTACATATGTATTGTAAATACTTAATATACATAGAGAACACCCAGACCGACACAAACAGTTATACCATAGATAATATAATATTACATAGTTATACTAATGAATACAACTGTTTGTGCCGTGCCGAGGAATCGAACCCGCGACCATCGGAAGTTAGTCGGTGTGCTTAACCGCTAGACCGAGCAGTCAACCAGGTCACATAAGTGCTTGAGTTTATATATTTTGTTCATCAATTACCATTACCAAATCAATTTAGATAATTAAGTAGGTATATCAACATTAAAAATATTAGTTAGTAAGCGTGAACGTTAACGTTTGGTTACGTTAAACGTGTAATAAGTCTTTAGTAATTCCCCAAGCATGATATATGGGCTGAGTCCTGTCCCACTCGTCCCGGCTGACCGATCCGTCCCAACTGGTAATGGCAGGGCGTGGCACAATATATTCAGGGACGGGACGGCATTCGGACGGTAACGTTTATGAAATAAATTAAACAAAATCGAGTGTAATAATTAAGAAGGACGCAATTTGATAAATGACGCGGCGTCCATTGTACGTTTGTTGTGGAGATGACAATCGACATTTTGAGGAAATGTTTGTATAATGTCCTTATATATAGACTCGATTATAAAAATAACGTTGATAAATTATTTATTAGATATGAGTAGTCGATCAGTGGTCACAATTCAGCCATAAATTAATTTCAATCTTGAAGTTTGCAAGTTATTAAAATTCTATTGTCAGAAACAACATTTTATTATAAAAGATATAAATAAAACAGGACACATCTGTGTTGTAGGTATTTTATCGTGGACTATATTTTATCTAATATAACAGCTGAAATCGCTGGTATTGTATAATTATATTTTCTATCTATGAATGTAGATTGGATGATGAATAGATTGTATTTATATTGTTTATCTTCATAGATACATATTTTCATAACTAGTTTCACTATGATCCGTCAGTCAGTCGTTTAGTCGTGAAAACATAACATATAGATAGACGCACTTTCTCATATATGAATGCGGTGGTATGAATGAATAAAATTTCATTGACAACATGCTGTAGTTGAACCCTTTGATACATTTTTATGTTGTTTTTATGTTTTATAAATGTATCATTTGAACATATTTTTTTGTAATATAATCTATTAAATATAACTGTCACAGTTGTCGCGTATTTTAAAAAAAAAACCATCGGTACCTTTCACTCATCAGATATATGAAATATCTGCGCTTCAACGCAATATTAATCTCACAGCACATATTGAAAGAGTCTTCAATAAAGGCTGCAAGTTTCGACTCCAAACAATAATCTCATTACACTAGGCAGGTGGACACACAACAATAGCTTTGGTTCGTCCGCCACCACGGCAGATGGCGCCACGGTATCGCACGAGGTGAGATCCCATCGCTGCGACGTGGCTATCGCTCGCCATCATCTATAACACCATGATCATAGAGCAATGTGATAATACAGAAGCGACGTATAATTTTGGGTTATACGTTTAGCTATGAATTAACTTTTAAATAAATATTTACTTCTATTTAGTTTTATAAGAACGTGTGAATGAAGATGATATATGATCTAACCCGGAAAAACAACGCCACCTGCCGGGTCTAATTGTGTTTTGAAATTATTCCGGAACCCTTTGAAATATACACATAAAAATTATCCAGATCGGTCTATCTGCTTAAGTGAAGTCAAATCACAAATATCGAAACGGATTTTAATGCAGTTTTCAGCAATAGATAGAGTAATTCAAGAGGAAGGATAATATATATAATACATGCGTGTAATAGTATAGAAAAAGTCGAGAAATTCAAAGAAATTCAAAGAGAATTTCAAGTCGAGAAATTAAAATTTCATTTATAATGAATCCGCGTGAAACCGGGACGGATTGCCTGTTGTATTATAAAATGTATAAATAAATAAGTCCATTGCCTCTCTGCGAAGATAATCTACATGTGGAGCGAAGGACGCCTCGCCGGCCGGCGGCCGCGGCGGGCAGGGCACAACATCAACCATTTTAATTATGTTCAGGACACCATTAACAATAAATCTGTTGTTCCTATACGTGCACACATGTGCACACGCCCCGTCTACACATAAACACACACGGAACATAATCGATAGTCATAATCGCGCGGGAGAATCGAGAATCGATCGACGGTCGCAACCGACCGATTTATGGCTAATTACAATTTTGTTTTAGTCATTCGCAGTCGTAAACTACTCTGTGACCAATTAGCTAATTATTACGTTAATGCTTTTAAGAAATTGACATTTTATTATTTGAATACTGTTTTGTGGTGTGATCATATTTTTTAGCCGACTTCGTAAAGCTCTTCGACAGTGTCTAAACTATCATATACCATAGTATATATTTCTATATACCCGTAGGTATATTACTGGCTATAAACAAAACGGTAATACGCGTGTTCGGTATAGCGTACCGGATCCTATATATTTTTATATTTCTGTTAATGGACTCAATTCTACCTCTAATCTCTCTTGCTAAGATTGCTAACCTAACTTAGCAAGGGAGATATACCTATCTAAGGAACAAAAATAAAAAAATTAGGTATACCTATACTTAGTCCTATTTACTATTTATAGTAACGTAGGTATATAAATAATAAGAAAATATTATAGAAATTGATATAGAACATACATAATTTAAATTTTTAATAACAAATAAACAAATATGCGCTATTCTAGAATTGTATGTGTAACTATATATAATTATTGTAATTATACATGTGGTCTTTAATATACTGTTTATGCCTAAATAAAGTATATTCTATCTATCTATCTATAAAATTATAATGAGTTCGTATCAAGGCATTTATTTTAGTTATTCCGTTTTATGCATGTACTTACATAAAGCTAAAGAAATCTTGTCACTTATCTCCTTGTCCCTGTCATTATCCCATTGCAAGATACGAGTATTTTCTTTCACTCTTCTTTATAAGAGGTTATGAACATCTACCGAATATTAAAGAGTAGTACCTAAGTACCTACCTCTTAAAAAGAAGAGAGTAAAAGAGAATAATCTTACGTTGCAGAGGGACATATTCGGCTTTTATGAGGACCATATAAAGCTCTTTGTAGCTATCATTATTATACTATAAGAAGAGTCTCTTCCTCTCTTATAAAAGAGAACAGATTATATTTGTATACATCTACATCAACATTAATTAAAGCTCGTTACAGAACCAGTTCTACGACGCTTTCAGATCCTGTGTTGTTATTAATTTAAATTTTATTTGTTATTCCTGTACTTAATTTTATATAATACAGGGTGTTAACGTATAATTATCCCTACGGCGATACGCGCAAAAAATTATCTCGACGCCCTCTTATCGTGAAATAATATTTGATTTTAATACCTCGATTGTATAAATAAATGATGATTGAAAAGATATAATTTTAAAATGAACAATTAAGTTTAGTACCTATTGCATTCACTATAACGTGGACAAATATTAACTAACTTTTATTTAGCAAAGTAACCTTCTGTCTACCTTGTTCATAATTCCAACCGTGAGGATATGTATATTCGTTACGTATAATAGCTTCGATAGTATAGCAGTTCAGCATACCGCCTTACATCCGATGGTAGCAGTTTTGATTCTCCTACGATTCAAACATTTGTATTCGTGACTGTCATTATATGTATTGGTTTTGTTTATAATATGTTATTGTTTAAGTTATAATATGTAGTTATATATATTTCTGTCAAATAATAGTGTATCCATAGTACAAGCTCTACTTAGTTTCGTACTAAATGGCGCTGTGCGAATTGTTCTGGGTTATTATTATGTATACTTGATGACATTATTAGATAATAAGATCTCTAATTAGTGAACAGTTCGCAAATGTCTCTGCGATGCGACATATCATGATAACCTCTACTGCACTGCCCCAATACTGCCAATTGTCGACCCAGAGACAATGAGACCGCCTTGTCAAATTGACGTATTCCGGTCGTTTATCGACGCGACACGAGGTGATTTCTAGGAATATAATGAGATATGATCAAGTAATTAACATGACTTTGCTGTTTATACATGTTTAATTGATATATTAATATAAAACACTAGCTGTAACCGCGACGTCGTCTGCGTAAAATAGTGACCTTGGCCAAATAATGAAAAATATTTGGTAATCTAACCCAATAAAAGCAAAATAAAAAAGTTTCATCGTTCTAGCTTCAAAAATGACGAATTTACATACAGAATTCCATACAAATAAATCAACAGTGATAGGTATATTAATATACTATAATAGACATAGGTAACAGAAATCTACTTTATTCATAAGATTTTAATCTATACATAGTATAAAACAAAGTCGCCATAGCTGTCCATTCGCGTATATATTTTAAATAAAGCAACAGATTTTAATGCAATCAGCACTAGATAGAATGTTTCAAGAGAAAGATTTATATATATTATATAATACATGCGTATTATAGTATAGATTCTATACTTTACTATAATATATATACCTATTATAGAACAAGCCGAGAAATTAAAAGATTTGTAATGCATCCGTGCGAAGCCGGGATAGGTTGCTAATATAAAACAAATAAATATGATAATCCATAGATCGTTCATATCCGGCTCGAAGGACCACCCTAATATTTTTAAACAGAATTTTGGTAAACTAATGACCGGCACTTGCTTTGCAGGAATAAAATATTTTTCTGTGGTGAAATGGAACCCATATTAATTTTAAGCTCGTTGTTTTCGTTGGTAAAAATTGCATATAATTCTTTGTAGTAGTTTTTATGTTATGCGTGTACAAACACAGAGACATAGAGATGAATATTTTAAAAGCTGTTATATTAGCTTCTATTCCTGATATGAAGGTTTATAGTATATATTACTTTTTTTCTCAATATTAATAATATATAGTAATATTTGTACAGACATCGGCCAGTTACAATTATATTATAGTTCGAAGGTAAAAGACATTTTTTTAACTATTAGATTTTTGTTAGGACTGAGTGACAATAAACAAAAGGTATTAGACAAATTCACATAGTATCAGATATTGTTTCATAAATAACCATAGTTTGTAAGGTCACAAATAATTAGTCAAAATATGAAGGTACTATATCCGTAGGTAGAGATAATGGTACTCATAAAAAACATCAAAAGCGGTATACTTCAACCATGTCATTGCATCAATAGTTATGTAGGCAGGATGGTACATAATAACGGACAAAGGGACAAAACTGAATAGATATCCCTTATAGCTAGGTATATAATCGGGACAAACATGGTCGTTCTATAGAAACATAATCCACATCCTAACTTCGACAAAGAATGCGTAATTGGATTACAGAGCAGTTAATATCTCCTTTCTAATGCTTTTGCAAAATATTTGGATTTTTAATAGTTTTATGCCATAAAGAATTGAGTTTTAATAGTGGGAGACAGAGTGTAGATTTCTATAGCTATTAATATGTTTTTAAGGTCTTGTTGAGAGGGATTTTGGTCCCCTGTATGAACAGGCGACAAAAAAATATCACCGCTCCAAAAGATGTCATATTAAGCAACATGTCAATCATATTTTTATGACGCATTCAATAGAATCCGTTGTTCACTTGCGTAGTTTTTTTCCCCATATTTCACGCATAGTTTGAGTAGCTCATTTTTTTATGTTGGAGTTTTTTCCCCTTCTACTGTTTGGGAAATCGTTGCGTTTTTCGTCTTGTTAATATTGCTTACAATTGATACTTGAATCGAGTGGTTGTACAAACATTTTTGGATTCCTTGCTTCCTGTTTCGCTGTTCACAAATTAGGTTTGTTATTTGGGATTTTGATATTGCTTTTAAGTACCTACATTACTTAGTTTACGCTTGATGATTAGATAAGTACAATGGATTTGAATGTGTATGACATTATTTAAGTTGTTGAAAAGTACAATAACTGGAATGTATCGGCAATGTATAAAAACATATCGACATAAAAATTTTTGGAAGATAATTTAATTTTTTTTTTTTTCTAATTACATTAATATTGTTTTTAATTTATAATTCGGATATATAATAAATATATTAATATTCAGGCCATCAAAAAAATAAAAAAGTATCATGTATGCATATATAACTGCAAAGCTATATGTTTTTATAGCTATATGATTTTAATAAAAATTATATCTGAATTCACGGAATGTACTTTCCGTGTATTTCAATATAATTATTATCGCCTACTAGTTTTCAAATAAAAAAAAACTATCAAAACTGACTCACGTAGAAAAAAGTTCATATGTTATATTTCTTTTCTATATATAAAAAATAAAAATGAATTGAGAACCTTCTCCTTTTTGAAATTGGTTGAAAACACACTTAAATGTCCTAAACTAACTTCTTTTATTCCCGAAAATAACTGACCATTACTATCCTGTTTATACAAATAAATGTTGATTAAATTAAGAAAACCGTTCATCCCCTGTACATAGTTAGAAGCTTACAATTGTGCAAGTATATTTCCACATATGGACATCGAAACCTCATAATGAACACACAGTGACCTCATTACTACCTTCGCATTACACCGTCAATTCATGACTCGTATCGCATTGTCTTACAATTACCGTGGTTCCACAAAATTTGGCACTCAACAACCGAATACGACTGACCCCACACTTAACACAGCTCTATTTATTGTACTCTGTGAAGGGGAGGTCAGGGTAAAGTGGTGCACGGACGCCGTAATTAGCGGGAAGCTGGAATTGCATCGCGATGTGCTGCTAATGCAATATGGTTTTTTGTTCTTACATTTTGTAGTAATGACGGAACAAAGGCGTCATTGAAAACGTTGAAATTCGATAGCACGCGACATCACTGCCGCCGCTGTCTTTGGGGGAGATGGGCATAATTAGCGTCAGTCAATTTTAATATCACAATTCGTAGTGTTTCACAAATAATTGTTGGACGGTACAATCTGCTCAGGTTTCGGATTCATTAAAATATATTGCTGAATTGCATTTTCGGTGCTTGATAATTATTATGTGCATACAAATTACATGTTATTAAGTGATTAAGAATATTTTCTTCTTGTATAAATACAATTTTATAGTATTGCG